TACACACAATGCATTAAATATTACGATGTATTTAATTGCTTGTTTAATATTTGTTAACATACTGCAAAGATGTTAATATTTGTTAATATTTGTTAATATTTGTTAATATTTGTTGATGTATGTTAATATTTGTTAATATTTGTTAATATTTGTTAATACTTGTTAATATTTGTTAATATTTGTTAATATTTGTTAATACTTGTTAATATTTGTTAATATTTGTTAATATTTGTTAACATATTTGGCGATTATGCATGTAATTGCAAGAATGTCTTGAATCTTTGAGTTTGTTTGATTAATAAAGCTCGTTCTTGCGATTTCGAAAAATGCGATTTAACAGAACACAGTTTATCTACTTAACAAATAACTGGAGTATGTAACTGGTCAGTTCATTGGCGGCGTCAATGCGCCGGGTTCTAACTATACAAACAGTAGCGCTGAAGAATCTCGGCACTGTGCAAAGAACCGTCTGCCCCGAGGCAGTTTGGTCTTACATAAACCAGCATTTAACCTGGACCTGATTCGCTTGCATGCATGTGGTCCATTTGAACTAGCGTTAAAGGGATCTCGGAGGCTTAAGGCACTAAACAAACGTTACTTTGGTTTCTCTATCTCCAACAGCCTCTTTGTGAATAATCCGCATTACTTTCTGTCTGAAGATCAAACGTTAAAAACTCAACGTTCAATTTCTTCTGACGAGATATCAGTTGCATAGAATGTTGTGGAATTACATGCATTTTTATTAGACTAACATCTTTTAGTTTCTGTTTATTCTTCACCCATTAAAGCAAATTTTGCTTGTACCTTCATTTTCTTTGAAATCTGCAAACGTGTAAATTTGAATAAACTTGAACAATCCACTCGCGTAAAAACAAATTAAATCCCTTGCACACTGATTTGTTTTATAACTTCGTTGATTAGCTCTGATTTATTTTCCCTGATAGAAAGAGACACTTTTTGTTTCTTTACTTTTATTTCTGGATTTTAGTAACAGAAGAATCAAATTTTGTGTCGATTTAGAATTATTAAACTCTTATTAAAATTAAACTAAACTAAACTAAACTAAACTAAAATTATTATTAAACTAAACTATTATTGAAATTATTAGCATTATTAAACTCTCTCCTTCTTCTTCGTCACTGCAAGTTATCATTAAACTGTACTGTTTTCCTTATTACTAGACCACGAACATTTACGTTTTACATAAATTTTGTTTTACTGTGTTTGTTGCAAAAATCTCAAACCACTTGAGAATTTCTTTGCCTGTTTTCTTTCTTCGATTCTTCAATTCTTTTAATCTTTCTACTGTTTCATTGCAGATACACACTGTGTTATTATGACAAATACACAAAATCTGTAGTTTATTTATTACGATATCTGTTGAACTTTTCCCTAAAACAATTTTTCTCTATTGAATTTGTTACTTTTTTCCTTATGCTTCTTTCAATGGAGAAGCTGTGTTATAACAAGAGTTTCTTCAATTCGCAAACCATATCGAAGTGAATTACAAAATGTAAGAATGTTGGAAAAGTAATTGATGTCATACAACTCAAGTCTTCAATTTTCGGTTTGTTTAAATAAGATACCCTAATTTTATGAAATTCTTAAGATTCTTAACGTGACAGTCAAAGGGTTCAACCGTGTACTAATACAAAAAATATAGTTGTATTGGGCATAACTTATCGCTAAGCGAATTTATAAACTAAGCGATTTAAGAGTTTCCAAATTTCCATTGTTCTGTTGATCATATTTGAATTTACAATAGCTTTTCATTTACAGGTCCGAAGAGAAGTCATTCGCAAAAGAAATATTTGACAAAGTGGTCCAATTTTTCGATCTGAATTTATTGCGAGACCCGATCTTTGTGAATATTATGGCAGGCATGTCGGCGGCCATCTTTGCCGAGGCAAATTTTTCTACATTGACACCGTTCATTTTAACGGATATGAAATTAACGACCAAGGAAATTTCGACCGTTCTTAGTATCATTGCTGCCATGGATTTACTTTTCCGAAGTCTTGCTCCATTTCTTGGAGAATGGCTGCACCAGCCACCAAGAATTATGTACATGATAAGTTTGGTCCTTTTAATTATTACTAGATCATGTGAGTATCATAACGTAATATACAACACGACATTGATATATTGACTTGGCAGATATCCGTACTTGTAGTATGTAAATATTAAGTAAATTTATTAAAGTTCATTTTTTTTTTCTTTCAATTTCTCTTACATCGGGCGAGAAATAATAATTGTAAACTCATTTTTTATTTCTAACAAAACATGTAACTTCCAATTTATTACAATATATATTCCAATTATTCCAATTTATATTACTTATTTAGAGATACAAAGCAATACAATTGCAAGAGTACAATAATTTGTTTTGATACAGTTAAAATGAGAATTCATTCATGATCTTCGTCAACTAAAATTTCTGAATTATAAATTTAACGTATTTTGTCGAAATTGATCGAAGATTGATGAAATATTTGACATAAACTTCTGCTAACCCCTTGTACTGTAACAACGAGTTAGACACGCGATGATTTAAAAAATATGAATGCTATTCATTTCTTGAAAATCAAAATACATTCCTGTGTTATCGAAAAGGAACGAAACAAAATAAAGACATACAAGAAACAAAAATTATTACAGACGAAGAAGTGCTAATCTGCAGGTGTAAAAGAAATCGTAGCACTGGGGGTTAAAAGGGTGCTAGAATACACAAATTGCTGGACTAAAGTCGTAGTACTAAAGATTACATTCTACAAAATCACCTATAATTGTCATTTTTACAAGATCTTCGATAAAATTATGAAAAAAGATATCACCAGTATATTACTTGAGTCATTTACTTATATTTTGTTTGTTCAAACATCTCAGAAGAGATTTATGATTCATTGTGTTATATCAATTCTATCGATCCATTAGTATCTGCAAGTTTTATTTCATGTAAACATTCTTATGCCAGTCAATATATCAGTATAATTTCATCGGTATAATTCATCAGTATCATTTTTCATCCATATTATAAAACTCGAATTAATTTCTAACACAGCTCTAATATTCGCCAATGGGTTTACATCGATGATACCCGTCGCTGTCGGATTAGGTGCTGCCAAAGGAATTCGTTCGATCTATATGTCTCTGGTGATACCCCACTACGTTCCCATCAACAGGTTACCTAGCGCAAATGGGATTCAAATGATCGTGAATGGTATCATGTTTTTAATTGCTGGCCCTATCCTAGGTATGTAGAAACTTTGCTCGTGAAAATGCTTGTAACACCGAATTTGACGCATTCTGCATATATTGCGCAGCCTATCTTCTCCATAATAATTATACAGGGTCTCCCAAAAACGTCTTGCCATCCGGAAATGGGGCGTTCTGAGGTCATTCGAAGTAACTTTTTCCTTAGCGAAAATGTAATCTGCGGCTTTGTTTGCGAGTTATTAACGAAAAATACTGACCAATGAAAGACGAGATTAGCTGACTCGTGCCAACAGAGACAATGAGCGGAACTAGGGTTCGACCACTCGTTAATGGTCGAAACCAATACGTAATTTTTAGACGACAATGAATGGTCTCGGGTAACCTTCGAGGAACAACATATTATAGGTCGACCAATCTGTCTCAAAATGGGCTACATGAATAAATGGAAACGCAACGCCTCGTGAAAAAGTATAAGTTCTGTTTGTAACAGTTTTTCGGAAAATGAACAATTTGGAAAATGATTATGTCGATGAATTAAACTGAGACACCTTGTATAAGTTATAAACGATAGCATTATAATACAGTAGTCTCTGCGTCATGAATCCTAAGTCATTCTAAATCATTCTAAGTCGTTCTAAATCATCCTAAATCATTCTAAATTCATTTGCAAAATACATATATCCATAATTAGACAGTATCGAGTGATCTTTCAGAAAATATAATCGTGTTAAAGCCAGCTTCTTTTTACACCATGCAACACCAATTTTTCTTTACTTACAATGATTGCAGGAATAATCCGCGACAGCGCCGGATATTACGCGCCCTGCATAGTGATGATGAATTTCATCACTGCATTGACTGTCGTAATATGGTCCGTGGAGATGATCATCGTAAGGAGAAGAAGGCTTCGATTAAAAGAAAAGGAACATGACAACTCCTATATATAATAGTATATGTGCACAATTGTAATTATAGATTTTATGTACAGGGTGCTCAGTAAGGTTGGGATCAAACTTATAAGTTATCTTATCGACAAGCATAGCTTTATTAAAAATTGGACTGGCCTGATTTTGCACTAAAATTTTCTATTGTACATCTTTAAGTATAATATAGGTATTAGTCGATCTTAGGAAATCATTGCTACACTGCCACCAAACTGCAATGCGTTCCTATACACGACATTGTTCGATAATTTCTGCGTATGATTGTTAATGTCTTTTTCAGTAAGACATCATGTGGAAAGTTATTCGTTTTATGTATGCAAATATATTATATTTATGCATTTTAGTAAAACAAACAAACATAAGAATCCAAGCACATTGACCGACCTGCAGTATTATTTTTCCCATAACAATAATTGTTGCAAAATAATCTAGCAGACAATAATAAGATCAAATTATATTTAATTTATGTTCTCATATGCTCATTTTTAGTTATAAATAGTAATTGTATGCTTTTAGATCTAATATGTGTGCATTTGTCATTAAAGATCACTAATATACAGCAAAATGTTCCTGAATATAAGTATAAGATAATTTTCGTAAGAATTCAACTCTAACTATAGCATATAATCATGAGATTGTATTAGATCTACCGAAGAGTTCTGTCCGACAATATCATGTCAAGTTTCAATACGTATGCAGTATTTGAGGCATATATATTTCAAAAATGATATTGACAAATTGTCATCACGCTAGGAAGAGTTCGTAAGCAAACACGGAAATAATATTGTACAATAAATATTATTAGATATATGGAAAATTGATTACTTTCTTTCACCTCGCAAACGGACAGAACTTTCCGACAGGCTTAATATTTTTAATGAAGATTGAAGATAAACAGTTCCTCTTGATCAAAGTCTGTTTTTGAATACACACTGCATGAATGACGATAATATGTGATAAATAAATTGCAGAAATAAATACGCATCTTCGTAAACATATTCAAACAACTGTTATAATAATATTAAGAAATGTACTATGCAATTTGTTTAAACAGTTTTGTACAGTATAAATGCAAATAAAGTTGTACTCAATATCCAAAAAATATAAATCTCTGCAGATGAAATAAGATTTATATTTATCATTAATCTTTAGAAGCGACACCATCTAATTAGGATCCGCTTGCTGTGTATTCGGTACACTGTCTTCTTTAAAAAAAAAAAAAAAAAAAAAAAACTGGTGATCAG